AGCAGGAATATCAGGCTGGGAAAGGCCAGTGGGCCTAGCTAGGGGGCTTGGAAATGTTACGGTCCCCTTGCTGGGGAGGCTAACCTTCCACCTGGAAGATGTACCCTCTGCCTCCGTGGATGGAGGCAAGATTCTTGCCCGTGTGGTGAGGCTCCACCCTCCCGAGAGAGGTTTCCCCCAAACCCCCAGGGGCAGGGCCTAGCCCCTCACTGACCTGGGCTGAGCATGTCCGTAGCATTGTGGGCCAGGGGCTGCCACCCCTCACTGGGGAAGCCCAAGGGGTCCTTGTCCTCAGCGCCTTTGGGAAGAGAGGAGGCCAGGCTGGTGGTGCCACAGGGCACCTCTGTGCTCCCGATGGGAGCCCAGCCCTCACTAGGCTCTCAGTGCCCACGGCATCTGGGACAGGCCTGGCACGGGGCAGGACCACCGTGTGTGTGTGACCTTCCTGCCTCCCCTCTCCCAAGCCCACCCTACACAAGGCTTACACGCCCACATTCCCAGGGGACCAAGTCCAGCGTGTAAGCTGCTCCGTCTGCAGCAGCTGCGGCTCGTCTCACCAGGACAGGGGGGCAGGTCGCAGGCACGGGACTCGGTGGCAGTGCAGGCGTAGCCACAGGGCCGAGTCCTCTGCTGGCTGCCACTGCCGCAGCTCCCACTGCAGGGAAACCAGGGGCTCCATTCCTCTTGAAGCCGAGTCTGCGTCAAGGCAGGGAGCCAGGGGTGAGGGAGCGGAGCCCATGGGGTGCCTTGGTGCGAATTAGCAGAAGGCACCCCTTCCTTGGGAGGATACGGCCCGGGCCAGGACGCCCCTAGCGGACGGAGCATGGGATGAATTTCAGCCCCACTCGTCTGCTCATCTGGGTACCCCTGTGCAGTGAACACCCTGGCAAATGCAGGAGGTGTCACAACTCCCAGCTACCCACTCTGTGCCCACACAGCAACGAAGAGGTAAAGCCACCTGGAGGCCACCTGACCACTGCTGAGGGGACCTTGGGTAAGTCCCCCGACATCTCTGAGCTACAGTTTTTGTGCCAATCAAAACCCAGGGTGACAATACTTCCCTAGCACTGGGGGTTTTAAAGAATGTCCCTGCTCCCCACATCCTGGTCTGAGGGACCCAAAATGCACCACGACAGCACCCACAGGCCTTTGGCTGCACGGGCCTGAGACCCAGGGCTCTCTGTGGAACCCCCAAAGTACTGACACACACACCCAGCTCTCTCCTCGCTTCCCAGGCAGGCCTGAGCAGGCTGGTACCAAGTGTTTAAGGGAAATCAATGGAAGAAAAGCTGAAAGTCATGAAAATTCTGCCTGTTAGCTTACACGACTTTGGTGAAAAGGAAAAAGCCTGATATGACTTAGTCTGAACCAACGATGAGACACCAGGGCTCTGGGGAGAAGTGCTATAACTGTGTCTGTACCCAGGGAAAATTGAAACTGCAATATGCAAAAATAAAAATGCCTGGGGGCTTCCCTGGTGGCGCAGTGGTTGAGGGTCCGCCTGCCGATGCAGGGGACGCGGGTTCATGCCCTGGTCCGGGAAGATCCCACATGCCACGGAGCGGCTGCGCCCGTGAGCCATGGCCACTGAGCCTGTGCGTCTGGAGCCTGTGCTCCAAGACGGGAGAGGCCACAACAGTGGGAGGCCCACGTACCGCAAAAAAAAAAAAAAAAAAGGGCCTGTCATGGGGCGGGGGACAGGCCTTAGGTGATATTTTCTGAATAGTCTACGTTGTTATGTTGCTTTCTAAAAAAAATGTAATAGCCAATACTTTGTTTACTATGTACTGGCACTTTAAAAGTACTAACTCACGGGCTTCCCTGGTGGCGCAGTGGTTGAGAATCTGCCTGCTAACGCAGGGGACACAGGTTTGAGCCCTGGTCTGGGAGAATCCCACGTGCCGCAGAGCCGCTAGGCCCGTGAGCCACAACTACTGAGCCTGTGCTCCGCAGCAAGAGAGGCCGCCATAGTGAGAGGCCCACGCACCGCGATGAAGAGTGGCCCCCGCTTGGCACAACTAGAGAAAGCCCTCGCACAGAAACGAAGACGCGACACAGCAAAAATAAAGTAATTAATTAATAAACTCCTATGCACAACATCTTCTTAAAAAAAAAAAAGTACTAACTCACTTACTACTCTCTACACCCAATGCTACGAAGTCAGGGTTGTGCCCATGTCCATTTTAGAGAAGAAGGAACTGAGGCCCAGAGAGGTTAACTTGCCCAAGGTCACTCAGCTGGTAAGCAGCAGACCCAGGGTTCAAACTCACACAATCTGAAGGTGAGGTCAGTTGTGAGTGGTGGGATTTATAATATTTCTTAATTTGTTGGAAACGGATATGAATTATATATTATTAACAAATGTCTGTCCTGCTTAGGGGATATCAGGGCTGTTGTGAGGGTCAGATGTCTGAAAAACAAACAAACAAACTTTGCAAGCTATGGGTAATGCTTGGCTGATGATGGTGTCTGCACAGGCCTAGGCTCCAGGCCTCCCCAGCTGCCCCTGCCCGGGAAGCTCTCACCCCCATTTCCACTCAGGACCCCCAGGGCCGGGGATGTCAAGATGGGGGAGCTCACCAGAGCTATCAGGCTCCTTGAAGGCCCGGTCCCCGGGGGGCAGCCAGCCCCGCTCCCAGCCTCCTGCGGCCCCACTGAACCCATGCTCTTGGTCATCGTCATCTTCCTCGTCGTGGTCCTCTTGGTCCTCACTCTCATGGTACTCTGGAGGGTAATCCTCCTCTTCCCCTGGGGCTCTGCCCTTGAGACTGGGCCTCCCTTCCTCGCCCTCCAGGTAGCCCCAGAATAGGGGCCAGAAGAGTTCCTTGGCAGGCAGCCAGCTGGGGGCCCCCTGGGACCAGCGATTGTTAGGCTCAGCCAGCAGGTCCATCTCCACCTCAGACTGGGGGTCCTCCACCACTTCGATGGTCACCTGCAGAGGTACAGACACACCCGGCCAGTGAGGGAGGGCTCAGAGCCAGACTCCAAAGGCAGGGGAGATGACAAACCTGGGGGGAGGGGCAGGGGCAGGCGGAGAGGCCCAACCTTTTCTCCAAACCAGCCCATTCTTTTGGTCCACCTTCTTGGTCTCCCCGGGCACATAGGGTCACAGTCTAAGACCTGGCTGTGCATCAGAATCTGCTGGAGATTCCTGAGCCCCTGACCCCACCCCAGACACGGATTTAACTGGTGTGAGGTAGGGCCAGGCGTAGTGGTCCTAACACGTGCCAGGGTGGAGACCCACTCATTTAAGAAAAGCTGGGTTTGAATTCTGGCTCCACCAGCCCACAGGCTGCGCAACTGCTGGGGCCACTGACGGCCCTGAATCTCCATTTCCTCATTCTAGGGCTGGAAAATGAGGCCAAATGACAGCAGATCCCCACAACGGCCCTGGGGAGGGCTCTCGCCCACTACATCGTGGACAGGAAATAAGTAACGTGAAACCATTTATGTGAAAGTGAACTTTAAAAACATCACTTTGGGCTATTACAAAGCGATAGTAGGTCGCAGAACAAAATTTGGGGAAATAAAAAGCAAAATATAAAGAAGAAAATGGAAAAATCACCCATATTCCATCTCAGGTAACATTTTGGTGATTAACCTTCCAAGTTTAGATATATAGACACACACACACACACACACACACACACACACTTTTAAACAACTTTAGAATGTTGTGTGTTCTATATTTTTGTGACCCGTTTTCTCTTTTGGTAAAAGTGTTTTGTAAGCTATAGATGGTACACAAAATGCAGGAATTATTGTAATTAGGGATTCAGGACTGACGGTGGAGTACATAAACTGGAACTCCACCAACCCCTCTAGTTTTCTCTCCCATAAAGCCCCTCTGGTGGGCAGGCCGCCGCGCCCCCAGCCCACCCCATCCTTCGTCAGGAGCCTGCAGTAAGGGCTGGGCCTGGGGGATGATCAGACCTTCAGCCTTTCTACTAGACCTCTCCCCATATTCCAGGAATCTCCTGCAGCTCACAAAACATTCTCTGCTCGTTTGGTCCTCATGACAGCCCTGCCGGGTTGGTGCTGTTTGCTCCGAGGCTCAGAGAGCCACGGGACTTGTTCACAGTCTGCAGCTAGAAAGGGGGGAGCACTTCCACTTCCCACTGCCCCACAGGCAGGGCGGGGGCTGTCACCTCCTCCGACCTGCACAGGACCCCTGCCCTCCATGCAATACCGGATGGGACGCCTGACCTCAGAGCTGAGCTCTTCAGCCCAGCTTCTCTCCAGGTGTCCACTGGGCCCATGGCCCCCCTGCAGCTCTCACCTGGATACTGGGGTTTGGGGCACTCAAGTCTGTGTTGGCCAATCCCGGCAGCTTCTGCAGCTCCAGCAGCAAGGGAGCGTCCTCCAGGGTCCCGGGCAAGGAGGTCTTGTCCAGGGTCAGGGCTGCTGGCTCAGTGAGAGCCCAGCGTCTGTGTCGGCACAGCCCTGCCTGGAGGTGGGCTCTGGAGAGCAGAGGGGTCTCCTCTTCTCTAGGAGAGCTGGGGTCTGGGGAGGCCGAGACCTGAGGGAGAGATGGGAGGGAGGGGTGCCTGAGGTCAGCGCCCATGCGAACCCGGAAAAGACTGGTGGGGGGCGGGAGCAGGGGGAGATTCGGGAGCCCTGGGGGCAGACCAGGTCACAAACTCGCCTTGAGACCGTGTATCCAAACGTGTCTGCTTTAACACCTCAGAGGGTGGACTGCGTCCACAAAGCGCTCGGGCAAATGATGCCAGTGTGAGGCACGAGAAGGAGGGTTCAAATCAGGTTTCTACACATGGAAGAAACACAATCCAACCTGCTCATTTCACAGATGAACAAACTGAGGCCCAGAGGGGAAGTGAGATGTTTAAGGCAGTGGTTTCAAAGTGCAGTTTGCAGACACTTGCCTCAGAATCCCCCAGGGCCCTTGTCAGAGAACAGACACCCAGGCCCTCCCACGTCAGGGCAGGAAGGCTCAGGAAGGCTGACAGGTGCGTGGGCAGCAGACCCAGGCCCTTCCCCTCAGCACACTCCCCTGCCACCTGGCCTTCCCAAGCCATCCATGCGGGGGCTGTATTTCTTGGCATCCCTGACCATAGCAACCTTCCTCCGCCTGCTCACGTGGGGCCCGGCCCCTTTTCCTATTCCAGGCTGCTTGTGTGGCCGTCTGTCTGCCAGTTAACCCCCTCCACCAGCCAGTGCCATGAGGTCCACACTGGGACTGTCCTTGATGCAGCTCAAATAGTAAGTGAAAGCAGATCCTTGATGTCTCTGACTCTTGCCCTGGCCTTCCCTGCTCAGACAGTGGAGCACTGGGTCAGCACCTACCTCCAGGCTGCAGTCATTGCCCAGGTCTCTACACCAGGGCAGAAGGAGCCCTGTCCAGAGCTGCCTTGTGAGCCTCAGGGGCCAGGAGCCTGTGGACCCTGCCTTGCCCAGGCCACAGCCTCACCCAGGCCACAGCCTTCTTTCTGCCTCTACACCAGGGCAGAAGGAGCCCTGTCCAAAGCTGCCTTGTGAGCCTCAGGGGCCAGGAGCCTGTGGACCCTGCCTTGCCCAGGCCACAGCCTCACCCAGGCCACAGCCTTCTTTCTGCCTCTACACCAGGGCAGAAAGAGCCCTGTCCAGGGCTGCCTTGTGAGCCTCAGGGGCCAGGAGCCTGTGGACCCTGCCTCACCCAGGCCACAGCCTTGAGCCCACCTCCCGCCTCATACCTCAGACAGTGTGGTACGGCTGAAAAACATGGGTCTGGAGAGTCAGATCAGCTTGGGTTCAAATCCCAGCTCTCCTTCTTACTTGCTCATTCAATTTGATGATTTCCCATCAACAAAATGAGAATAATAATTCCTACCTGGAAGGATTGTCAGAATTTTATTTGTCGAACACTTCCACAGCATCCACTGTGTGCCAGGCACTATTCTAAACACTTAAATCACTCGTTTAACCCTCCCAACAACCCTCAGAGGTAAGGGCTAGCTGTCATCTCCATTTTGATCATGAAAACTAAGGCACAGAAAAGGCAAGTAACTTGCCTGAGGTCACACAGACATTTACTGTTAGAAGCAGGATTTGAACCAGGTAGCCAGAGCTCACACCCTTAACCATCATGCTCCAACACTGCAGGTGAGAGCACTGAGAGTCTACCTCACAAATCAGGGGCTGAATCAGTCTTGTTTCTCATGTCTCTCCCCTTTGACCCCCTCCTTCTGTGGTCCCCAGAGGCCTGGCTCCAAGGCTCCTGCACTGGGACTTCCCTGGTGGTCCAGTGGTTAAGATTCCATGCTTCCACTGCAGGGAGCACGGGTTCGATCCCTGGTCAAGGAACTAAGATCCCGTATGCCATGTGGTGCAGCCAAAAAACCAAAACAAAACAAAAAACAGAACCCAAACAAACAAGGCTCCTGCACTAAACACCTGGTCCCAGGGCAGCCATGGGCCCATCTCAACCGGGGCCCAGAGTCTCTCGATGAGTGAAAGTGTTCTGGTCCAGATAGCCGGGACGGATGAGCAGAAGATGGATAGATGAGTAATCGAACAACCCAACCCCTTCTCTGGCCAATCCTGGAGGCCTGGAGCATCCCCAGATGCCACCTTCCTAGCAGTTCCCACCCATAATTCCACAGAAGCCCTAACTGTCCCCACGACTTTGCTCAGCAGTTCCTCTGTCTGCAGCCTCTGGGCACAGAAACAGGCAGACTTGGGGCAGCAGCAGTTCAGGGTCTGCAGCCTTTCTAGCTGATTTAGATGCCCCAGCCTCCTGGGCACAAATACCAGGTTTCATCTTCGGACATTTGGCAATGACATTTGTAGTTGTCATAGCTGGGGCGGGGAAGGGGGTGCTACTGGCATCTAGTGGGTGGAAACCAGAAATCTTACAATGCATACATAGCACAACCTCACAGCAAGGATTATCCAGCCCAGAATGTCAACAGTGCTGCAGTTAAGAAACCCTGCTCTGGAGTCAGGCTGCCTGGGTCTGAATGCCAGTGGTGGCCTGGCTTCTGACCTGTGGGACCCTGGCAGGTGACATAACCTCTGTGAGCGTCCTCATCTGTAAAATGGAAATGGTGATGGGACAGAGCTGGTACCGAGTAGGCATTCAAAGTGTCCGTTTCCAGCCCTCCCCACCCTGGTGCCCAACCGGACCAGACGATGAGCAGAGACCATAGAAAGCCCTGGCTCAACATCACAGCCACACACACCACCCTTCCTCTCTTGGAGCCTCCTGCCCTGTGTGTCAGCCCCTGGGGAACTCCCCGGAGCGGAGGGGGACATCTGATCTTAGTTTGGGTTCCCTGAGAAGCCGACCCTGAGACAAAGATTCAAGGGCAAGTGGTTCCTTTGGAAGGTGATCCCTGGAGACACCAGCAGGGAGTGAGGCAGCAAGTCAGGGAGGGAGGCAGCTAATAAAGAATGCTCCATGAAGCCAGTGACCACGGTGCACAACTGGAGTGCATCCCACTGGGCGCCTCAGTTATGCCATCAGTCATCGGTTGAGGCAGGCTGGGTGGGGGAGAGGATAGGCACTCCAGGCGCTTTGGGCTGGCCGTGCACAGCTCAGAGCAGGCCCTAGTGCCAGCAAAAGCCCTCAGGCAACTGGAAGTGAGGTCTGCAGGGATGTGGGCAGAGCACTCAGAGCCCTGATGTGTAAGCACTGTCTGAGCGCATCTTCCGTACCGTGCCTGGACCAGGCCTTTTACATACCTTCTGACACTTACTCCAGCTAGGGTGTAAGCTCCGTGCAGGTAGAAATGTTTGTCTGCTTTGTTCACGCTGTATTGCATGCCTAGCACAGTGCCTGGCACGCTACAGGCACTCAGTAAATCATTTCTGAGTGATGGACGAATGCCAGCAATGATGAGGGGTGAGTGTGACTATCTCTGTGTTAACGATGAGGCTGTGGAGGCTCTGAGAGGGTAAGGGATTTCCATAAGGTCTCACAGGTTACACTATGGGAGCTTAGGTTCAAACTCAGCTCTGTCGGATCTCAACGCCCAGGCATCGGTGCACATGCGCCTGCGCAAACAGACACTCAGGCCAATTACCCCTCAAGTGCAACCCCCTCTGCATTCAAAAAGCGCCTCGGCTTTCATCTTCTTGTCTGGCCCCTGAAGGTGGTGGTAACGAGTGCAGGCTGGAGGCCACATCACCTGGGATCAAACCCCAACTTGGACACCTACTGGCTGTATGACTGTGGGCAGGTTACTTAATCCGCCTTAGTTTCTCCTCCTGTAAATTAGGGAAAGGGCCGGCCATCCCTGTCTCATAGGGCTGTTGAGTTAGAACGGCGCCTGGCACATGCAGTGAGTGTTACCTAGAGGTGGTGATAGATAGTTCTCAGAGAGAGAGCGGGCAGCACCCCTCTCACCAGCACGGTGTTGGTTCTTTACATCTTATTTGGTTTGAAGACCGCCCCCCTCCACTACTGATGCAGATCTCTGGGCGGTGTATTTCCATAACATTCTGAAGCAAATTCTGAGGCTCCGGCCTGTTTAAGAACACCTGCCCTATCCCACGGGACCACCTCCCACATCTTTTATGCTTAAATGTGGAGTTTCACACGTGTACATATACACAGCTCTATTCTTTTGGGGATGGTGTCATTACCCAGATAAGCATGAGATATATAGATATACACCAAGATATGTCCCCACCATTCATTCTCTCTCTCTCTCTCTTTCTCTCTCTCTCTCTCTCTCACACACACACACACACACGGGCCCACGCATATGCTCCCAGGCTTGGCAGGGCAGCCCTGACCCATGTGTTTCCAGTTAACATAAGAGCCCCCCCACCCACCCACAAACCCTTACTGCATTGCTTGAGCATTGCCTGCTAACCTGCTTCAGCTCCCCTCACAGTCCCCCCACTCTCCCTTCTCCCCTCTGCCTCCTCTCAGGGGTCAGGAACTTGTTCTGGATAATGAAATCCAGTTGCCAGGTGCAGTCCAGCATCTCTCCTCCGCGCAGCCACTGCTGAGGCCCAGGCGCATCCCTACAGAGCCCGGCTGCACACACAGTCACCACGGCTTCCCGGAGGTGCTGGAGCCCCGTCATTCAAGGGCGGTTGCTTCTCCAGACAGGCCAGAGGACCACCGGCAGAGGAATGGGGTTGGATGTCTCCCTCCTCACTGGTGTGTGCTGTTCTAACCCAGCCCACCCTGGCCTGGGAGGGAGACCTACCTCAGAGCACACCCTCCAAGCACCAGGGCTGGCTTCATGCTGTGTGACCTGCGCACTTGTACAGCACGCTGCACCGGTTTTACTGCTCTGCTATTGCCATCTTGAAATGCTTAGAGACCCCACATTTTCATTCTGCACTGGGCCCCATGAACTACGAAGCCAGTGCTGTCAAGCACCCTGCAGGTACTGACCCAATGAATCCTCACAACCACGAGGTACCAGCATCACCCTCACTTCCTAGAGGAGGCAGCCAAGGATCCGAGAGGCGGAGGAACTGGCTCAGGGTTACACAGGGGGCTGGCAGACCAGGTTTTGAGGCAGATGATCTGGCTAGCGAGTCTGTGCTCTTAACGCTTGTGCTTTGCCAGCTCCAGGCACGGGCAGCACCTTCTGGTTCACTGCCTGCCACTGTGGGGTGAGGAATGTGCCGAATGAACAAAACACTAGGACAGGATGTTCTGCTTTTCATATCCATCCTTCCCGTTGATCCTCATAACAACCAAGCGAGGTGAGAAGGGCAGGGACGATTAGGAGACTGAGTTCCAGTGAGGCTGGGACTTGCCTGGGACCACTGAGCAGCCCAGCCTCCAGGCCTCAGTTCCTGACCTTCCTTCTCTCCCTCAACCACCTTTCCAGTGGTTCCGAACTCTCAGAGCGAGAAGAATGGCCTGGAGGGAGAACAAAGTTCACAGTCAAGGGGCGGGAAGGTGCCCAGCTGCAGGAAGTGGCGGAGGGCAAGGCCACAGGCTCGCATCACACAGACCTGGGTTCCAGTTCCCCTTCTGTCAGTTGCTCACCGATTAGGCCAGAAAGACCCCAACCAAAGAAGGCCAATCTTCAGAAAAATACCTGCTCCTTGCTGCCACCCACCTGGCAGATGAGACCTCTCAACCCACCATGCCCCTCCTGCAGTCCAGGCCCTGCTGCCAGGTAACTGGCTGGATGATGCACCAGGACTGAAGTGCTGCCTAAGTACCCCTACCACGTGAAGGACGCCGCCCCAGGTTGGGGAGCTCCTTCCTCTGTGTTTAGTCCTTCGTCTCAGCCCGCACCCTCATAAAGTACTTCCTCCCATGGCAGCTGAATCCCTGCTGCCGCAGCATGAAACGTGCCCAGCTCTGACCCGTGGGGGAATCCTTCCTGCGGGACAGTCCTTGAAGCTGAGGAGCTGCCCTCTATCAATTCTTCTCTCTTGCCTAGCTCTAACCTCCATTACCCTCTTGTGGCTGCAAGTCCCCAGCTCCCCTCCGCCCTACCCCAGGGCCTTCCCTTGCTGGCCTAGGAGGTGGTGGGTGCCAGGGTTAGGTGCCCAGGGGCTGGAGAATTAAGCAAAGCTGGGTTTGGATCCTGGCTTAGTTATTGGACCCACTGTCAGTTTCCTTGTCCTTCAAATGAGGACAACAAGACTATAGGAACACAAAATGCCCTGCAGCTGTTTGGGTGGTGTTCTGATCCCGACTAGAATAGAAGATACCCAAGGCAGAGCTGTATCATTCTTTGCTCGTCCAGCACCCAACAAATTGCGTGGCCCCAGCCCCTTGTAACGACGAGGCCACCCACGTGGACAGTGCTTTCTCACCCCGCATGCCACCCAACAAAGTGGGTTCTCATTCCCACTCGACTGTGGGAGTAAACTGAGGCTCAGCAACAGGCCTGCCCAGAGAGAGGATGGCATATTTTGTTCATGATAGTAATGATTTCAAGACTTTAGATGAGCAGGCTGGAGCATGACATGCAAAGGTCTCAGTGTAGCTCTGGAAAGACAGACCTGGCTCCCAACCCCAGTGAGGCTAACCATCTCTGTGCCTCGATTTTTCTCATCTGGAAAATGGGAATGATGCCCATGTCAGATATCTGACAATGAAATAACATCATGTTAAGTACTTTGTACTGAGTCTGCCAGGCCCAAGGGATGCTTACTGCCCTGCAGTCATCCTACACCTTTGGATCCGGGGGGGGGGTGGTTTATGTTCTTCAGCTTCTTCACAAAGGCCTCTGGGCTGGTCAGCGATGTCAGCGATCATCACCAAGGCCCTAGAATAGCAGTGTGCATTCTCTCAACATGATTCCTCAGCTCACACCTTTGATGTGTGACTGCTTTAGCACACATCATTCACATTTGGGAAACAACGTTTGAGCTGGACGGGACCATGGAGGTGACTTAGCCCCTCATTTCAAATGTCAGGAAATTGTCCAAGGGGTGTCACACACGAGTTAATAACCAGCTGGGACCAGAACCCCAGGCCTCAGGCTCCAAGCTCTGTTTTTCCTTCATGCCAGTAATTCGTTTGAAAATGTTTTTGAGGGCTCTGCCAGGCTCTATACCAGGGCTGGGGATGTGACTTTGGCTCTGAAATAACTCATCCTCTGGGCTGGTCTTGGGGGAAGATCTGGCAAACATACTAAAAATAATTACAATCAAAGGGGTAAGTAAAAAAGTATTTATGCCAATTCAATTAATTTTATTTCCATTGTCATCTCCACTGAGGAAGTGGACTGGCCAGAGGCTGTTCAGTTCCTCTGGATTTGTCTTCAGCTGTGGCTCCTAACAACAGGCAGGAAGAGGGGGTATCCCACAGGAAATAACATCTGGCTCTGTTGGGCAGTGGGTGCTACAGGCATCTAGTGGGTAGAGGCCAGAGATGCTGCTAAACATCCTACAATGCTACAACTCACAACAAAGAAGTGTATAACCCCAAGATGATGGTAGTGTGGAGGTTGAGAACCCCTGGTCTACAGGATGTACTCTCAACAGGGGCAAAAATTAGATCTTGGAGGAGGAGGTAAAAAAATCTAAGTATTATTGCAAAACAATGGTTTGTAACACTCCAAAGGGCCTTTAGTGCATGAATAGAGAGCATATCTGTGGTATTAAAATTTCATGGGGGAGGCACTTAGAACAAACAGAGTCTAAAAATCTCCTTACGAGGGAGGGCAGTCATGAAAAAAAGATAGACAAACAAGGGCCCACAGAGACCCCCCACTAAAATGCAGAGGATGTGCTTTCTTCCCGTTGCCTCTGGAGGGCCTCAGCAGCCTGGGCACTGATAGGGCCCCAAGCTCGGGCTCTCGCTCACTTCACTGCTCTCCTGCACCCGCCTCGGGCGGGCCCTGAGTGTCCTCATCTGGAAAATGAGAAGAGCCACTCCGGCCTCCCCCTAGAATTGTTCCGTGCACTGAGAGGCCAGGACCCCCTGCCACACAGGCCTGCTCCTGCGAACCCTGCAACAAGTCTGGCGGGCTTTGTCCCCATGGGGATGAGTCCTCTGTGGTCCAGGAGGGAACGGCTGGACCGTTGACCCCTGGCGACAGGAGACACGGGTTTGGACAGACGGTGATTTCTCTTCGTGTCTAAACTACTCTTGGTCTCACTCCTCTGTCTTCAGTCTCCCGCAAAAGCCCACTCACAGCCCCTCCCCACCCCCAGAAAGCGCTTCTCTACCTCTTACCGACCTCTCCTGCTTGTTCAAGTACCTAATGATATAAAGGTCCCACCCAGCAAGTTGGAGGCCCCCACTTACTACCTCACCTTCTCTCAATTCACACCCCAAAGGACCCAAATCCTTTGAAGATTTGATTGAAGAGGCTGCACCAGGGGCTCACTTCACCGCCGGAACCTCAGCAACACCCGCCCGCCACTCCGCAAAGCGCTGCGGTCCTCGAGCATCCTCCGGACTCCTCTCGGAGCGCGCACCTGAACCGCACGGCTGCAGGAGAGGTTCGCTCAGGGCGAGGCAGCCGCGGGGACGCGGCGGGCGGATGGGAGAGGAAGCCGGGCGGCTGCAGGGTGTCTGCGCACCTCACTCAGCACAGAAGTAACGTTTCTCCCCAGGGTGACCTGCTTCACAGCCCGGGGGTGTTTTCCGCAGGTCCGGCGCACCTGGCCACCGCCCGATGCCCGCCGACGTCCGGGGGTCCCGCCCCTCGCACTCGGGGGCCGCCACTCGCGTCCCGGTCCTGCTCCCCGCGCGGCCAGAGCTGGGGGCCGGGGGAGCAGGGACCCATAGCCGCGCAGCCCGCGCCGCGCCGCTCACCTCCGCCAGCCTCACGTGGCTCCAGCCGGGGCCCCGCGGCTTCCGCAGGGGGAGCGCTCGCACCGCGGCCAGCAGCGCGGTCAGCAGCACCACGCAGAGGGGGAGCGCCGCGCGGCCGGGGAGTCGAGGCATCCTCTCCCTCCCGAGGCTGCTCCGCCCGGCGCCTTCGCGCCTCCCGGGCCGCTCCGGCGAGTCTGTTGACGCCGGGCCTCGCCTCCTCCGGGGGCGGGAGCGCTGGGACGGCGGCGCAGGCCCGGCAGCGCCAGCGCTCAGGGCTCGGAAGGGGAGCTCCGGCGGCCGCGGGGTCGCGCGGGGCGGGGGCGCGCGGCTCTCCTCTCTCTCTCTCTCTCTCTCCTCTCTCTTCTCTGTCTCTCTCTCTGTCTCTCTCTCTCTCTCTCTCTCTCTCTCTCTCTCTCTCTCTCCTCTCTCTCTGTCTCTCTCTCTCTTTTCTCTCTCTCCCTCCCTCTCTCCCTGGCCCGGCGTGGGCGCCCCGGCTGCTCTCGGGTCGGCGCTCGGGATGTCCCCCGCCCTCCCCGGAGGGGTGGCCCCTCGCGATCCCGGACAAGTCTTGGCCCAGCGGCGGCTCCCTTTGATCTGGCCTCCTCCCCGCCCCGAGTGCCCGCCGCTGTCGCCGGCGCAGCCCCAAGCGAATTCCTGTTCGGGGAAAGTCGCAGCCCGCCTGCCGGCGCTCTCCAGTCCAACTGTGCGACTCCTGCGGGGTACTGAGGGCGACGCCGGGGCTCACCGACCGCCAGAGCCTCGCGGGCGAGGGACGCGCCGCAGCCCAACGCGGGAGCCTTCAGCTCTTGGGCAAATGTGCACCAAGGTAGGGTGGCTTGGGGAGGAAGGCCTGGAAGTAACTCCCCCAAGGCTCTTCCAGCTCCCCTGCTGGAGGTGGAGACTCGAAAAAACACCTGCCACTCTGCACCCAATTTCCCCTGGGTGTTCAGCACTTCAAGAGCCAGGAGAGAGCTGAGACTCAGATGTGAGGATAAAGTCCCAGAAGGACAGCAGCTAGCCACATTTGAAGGAGTGGTCAGAGATTCTGCCCTGCCACTGGGTGTCACCTAGTTTCATCCTGGGTAAAACAGTGGGTCCACCCACTCCCTCCAGAGGGACAGTCGTGCAGGGATCCTCCCGTGTAGGGCGTGCGGTCATGAAATAAAACCTCAGCTTATGATAATGATCAGGAACTATGAGTGGCAGTGACGATTTTCATGGCTGGGGGCTGTTAGGGACTGTGAGCTCCGTGACACAGGGCAGGTGGGGTGGGGTCTGGACAGGTAGGTGAGGAGCAGTCAGAAGGCATTATTAGGAAGATGCCTACCCAGGGGCCATATGGAGGAACACAAAGGCTGCCTGGTTTCTGGGTAGGGACAGCAGATCCCTGGAGGTGCTGGGAAGGATGCCAGAAACCTGGCCATAGGGTAAAATTTGGGATCTGGGTTTAGCCTTAGAAACTCTTAGGAGACTGGGCACATTTCTGAGAAACCATTCCTATCCCTAACAGCACTGCCCAGGACTCTGCAGTTGTTGTTGTTTTTTTTAAAATAAATTTATTTATTTTTGGCTGCATTGGGTCTTTGTTGCTGCGTGCGGGCTTTTCTCTAGTTGCGTCGAGAGGGGTCTACATTGTGTTGTGGTGCGCGGGCTTCTCATTGTGGTGGCTTCTCTTGTTGTGGAGCACGGGCTCTAGGCGCATGGTCTTCAGTAGTTGTGGCATGGGGCTCCCCCTCGCTGGCTCTAGAGCGCAGGCTCAGTAGTTGTGGGGCACGGGCTTAGTTGTTCCGCGGCACGTGGGATCTTCCTGGACCAGGGCTCGAACCCATGTCCCCGGCATTGGCAGGTGGATTCTTAACCACTGCGCCACCAGGGAAGTCCTTCTGCAGTGTTTTGAATAGTGCATCACAGGGGTTAGTTACAATGCCGATCTGGAGTTCGACACAGGGGTTTGAACCTTGCTTCTATCATTTACTAAGAAGGTGATATTATTGGGCAAATTCTTTGACCCCTTGGTGGGTGCTTTTTCATCTGTAAAAGTGTGGGGTGTAGGGAGGGGCTACCCACCTCACAGGTGTGAGGAGTAAATAAGAATCTAAGGACTTATATTAGGATGAACTACATGAAGTTGCCACTTCTGGGTCAAAAGGGTCAAATGTGGCAACTTCATGTGGTTCAGCCTAATAAGATGCCCGGTACATAGTAAACACTCAAATATTAGCCCAAAGAAACCTAGCATTTGAGCAACCTGCTACACCATATTGCTTTTACTAAGTGCGAGGCCACTGTGTTCTTTTTTAGGATTTTTTTTTTTTTTGTAAAACTATTTTCACATCCAGTCGAATATTTTGTCTTTTCATCAAACTTTTGAACCTTCCCCCAGATTAAACATGGAGTTTGAAAATAAGGAATTCATTCATTCATGTGTATCTGTCTCCAAGTCAGTAACTACCACTAATGGGAGCCCTTCTCCCCCTTACCTGGCCAGCTATAATAGCCTCCCGATTAGTCCTGCTATATCTACTCGTTCTCACTCTCTCCTCCCCAAATGCTGTTGGTTATCCTTTTCTTTTTTTAATCAACTTTATTGAGATATAACTTACATACAATAAACACACCTATTTTAATTGAACAGTTCAATGAGTCTTGACAAATGCATACATCCAGGTAACCACCACCACCATCATGACTTAGAAATTTCTCATCACTCCAATATCCTTCTGTGCACTGCAGGAAAAATAAATATGCTTCAGTGGAAAATAATGCATTGTCTTACATACAGTGCATCCTTTTGTGTTATCTGATTCTAGTCTTTCATTGTCTTGGGGCTGTTTTACAACTTTGTAGGTTGTAGGTAACTAATAGCAAAGCAAAATACTTCTTGTCTATATAAATGCAAATTCTGTCCTGTTCTGTGGAGGTTCGATTGACCTCCCTCCCCGAGTGTGGAAGAAATCAGTTTTGTCTTCATTTGTACATTCACTTCAGTATTCCTGATCTATAAAGTTTCTGTTTTTCAATATCTCCTTTGAATTGGCTGTAATACCCTAAACAGTTTTCTCATTAATGAGTTAAATAAAATCTTTCATTTTTACATCTGTAAGAGAGTCATGATTTTATTCGTTTTTGAAAATTATCTTTTAACAGTCCCTTTGTACAGTTAATCCCTACCTCCCTACCCTTGGCTCCTGGTAAGCACTTCTCCACTCTGTCATCATAGGTTAGTCTTGCCTTTTTAGAAGTTTGTATCAGTGTAGTCACATTCATGTATTCTTTTGTTTGGCTTCTTTCTTTGAGCATGGTTTTGAGGTTCATCCATCTAGTTGTAGGTGTCAGTAATTTGTTCCTTTTCACAGCTGAGTAGTATTCATCATATGACCATTCTGCTGCTTTTCCCATTAACTATGATAGCATTTGGATTGTTTCCAGGTTGGGGCTATTATGAATAAAGGAGCTATGAATATTCAAGTGCCAATTCTCTTGTGGACATGCTTTCACTTCTCTTGGGTGAAATTGCTGTCAAAAACTTGCCAAATTGTTTTCTCCAACGGCTGTACCATTTTGCATTCCCACCTTTGTCAACACTTGGTATTGTAATTTTATTTTTTTAGTAATCTTTCTTTCTTTTCTTTCTTCTTTCTTTCTTTCTTTCTTTCTTTCTTTCTTTATGACTGTGTTGGGTCTTCGTTTCTGTGCAAGGGCTTTCTCTAGTTGTGGCAAGCGGGGGCCACTCTTCATCATGGTGTGCGGGCCTCAAGTGGGGGCCACTCTTCATCGCGGTGCGCGGGCCTCTTCACTATCACGGCCTCTGTTGTTGCGGAGCACAGGCTCCAGACGCGCAGGCTCAGTAGCTGTGGCTCACGGGCCTAGCTGCTCCGCGGCATGGGGGATAATCCCAGACCAGGGCTTGAACCCGTGTCCCCTTCATTAGCAGGCAGATTCTCAACCACTGCGCCACCAGGGAAGCCCTGTAATTCTTTTTCTATTTAGCCATTCTAGAGGGTGGGTGAGTAGTAGAATTTTATTGCAATTTTAATTGGCCTTTCCTTAATGACCAATGATATTGAGCAGTTTTGCATGTGTTTATTGGCCATTAGTATACTTCCTCTTGTGAAGTGTCTGTTCAAATCTTTTGCCAATTTTTAATTTAATAATCTTGCCTTATTGAGCTTTAAGGATTCTTTATATATTCTAAATAGAGAGCCTTTGTCAGATATATGTACTGTGGATATTTTATCCCAGTCTGCAAACTACATTGTCTTCTGAAATTTTCATCCTGATGAAGTCCAGTTTATGTTTTTTTCAGTCATGCTTTTTGTGTCTGAAGAAATCATCGCCACCCAACCCAAAGTCACCGATTTTCTTTTATATTTTCTCCAAGAAGTTTCATATTTTTTTATTTTTTATGCTCAGATCTATGATTTGTTTTGAGTCAACTGTGGTATGTGATGTAAGCTTGAAGGTCCTTTCCCCATTTAATTAACTTGGCACTTTTGTCAAAAATCAGCTAACCATACACATGTGGGTCTATTTCTGGACTCCCTATTCTGTTTTATTGTTCTATATGACTAATCTAATGCCAGTTGCAGTCTTGGTTACTGTAGCTTTGTACAAAGTTTTGAAATCAGGTAGTATGTTTCTTTACAAAATTGTTTTGACTATTCTAGGTCCTTTGCATTTCCACATAAATTTTATCAACTTGTCATTGACTACAAAAAAGCACGCTAATGGGTATTTAAAAAATTTTTTTTAAATTTATCTTATTTTTGGCTGCGTTGGGTCTTTGTTGCTGCGCATGGGCTTTCTTTTATTGTGGCGAGCGGGGGCTACTCTTCGTTGTGGTGCATGGGCTTCTCATTGCAGTGGCTTCTCTTGTTGTGGAGCACGGGCTCTAGGCACGCAGGCTTCAGTAGTTGTGGCTCGCGGGCTCTAGAGCGCAGGCTCAGTAGTCATGACGCACGGGCTTAGTTGCTCTGCGGCATGTGGGATCTTCCCGGACCAGGGCTCAAACCCGTATCCCCTGAACTGGCAGGTGGATTCTTAACCACTGCGCCACCAGCGAAGTCCCAAATGGGTATTTATTTTTTTCAATGCTTACAACTTTTCACTGGTTTTCCCCGGTGTGTAAGATA